ATCGTAATGAATACCAAAAAAATAAAAATAAAAATATCATATACCACACTAAATATCATAATATCAAAATCACGATATTAAAAATTTCAGTATAATATGATATTTTGGTATATACCATACCATGCCTATCCCACCCTGAGTAGGATTGATAACAAGAGTATTGAATAGTGTTATTAATAAGGTTAGTTGTATGATTCATTTAATTTATATAAGTTTTAATAAAAGTGATTTTAGTGATAGGTTAATTTAGATTAGTCTAAATTAATCCATCATAAATAGAATCATCATGATACTCGATTTTGATCCATCAAAATGTTTATTTTAGCTTCTAAGGTTTAATTTTCAGATTAAAATTTATGTGTATGAATAATTATTTAATTTTTTTATAATCATCATATAGTCTAACCTCACTAAATTAATATAGGTGGAATCATGAAATATTATTATTTTGTAGAGGTATTATTTAATCGATAAATTAATATTTATTAATTTAAAGAGTGTTTTGTGATTTAAGAAGGTTAATTTTGATTACATCAAAATAATTGTATCTTACTAATTTATGTATCATATTTATTGAATTGACGTAAAACAATTTTTTACTATACATAAAATATAATGAATATATCAAATCATTGTATCTTACTAAATTATGTATCATATTTATTGAATTTATATAAAAAATTAAATTCATTATACATAAAGTACAATGTATATGTATGATTCATTATAATATATTTTTGGGAAAAGGGACAAATATACCTCGAACTTTTGAAAATGGTATGTCAATACCCTCTATCATACTTTTCGTCTATTAGTGCCCCCGCCGTCCAATAACTAGTGACATTTACCCCTCCCACTATCGGAAGACTCATTTTGTACACGTGGCACAATCCTACGCCTCAACCCGGTTGACCAAATATTTAACCCAAATTTCAAATACCCGTTTAACCTGCCCCATTACCCATTTAACAAACTATCTACAAACCTAAAGAAAAAGCCCCATTTACTTTATCTCTTCTTCTTCCTCGCAAGGTCGCCACCGTCGTTACCGTCCCCCACCCCCTCACACCCTTCTTCTTCTTCTTCTTATTTTATCTTTCCATATACTCTTTCAATCATCTACTTGAAGATTTAAATAAAAGAGATCGAAAAATTAAAACACCTAATTCTGCAAAGAAAAAAACGCCACGCTAAAATCTTGAAGAAGAGACTCAAAATCACTTTGCTTTGGATAAAGTTTCTGCAAATTAAATTAATTAACATCATCTATCAAGGAAAAAATTAATTAGAGTAATCGAAAAATTCCTGTTTCATTGGAGATAAAACATAACCAGATCAAAACATTGCAATTTATTTGCATTCTCTACTACTTGTATGTCCTTTTTGGTAAAGAAAGAGGTAGAATTATTTGCCAAAGCTTGTTAGCATGATCGTTGTTGATTAAATCACGAGGAAGTGAGTTTCATTTGTAGTTGATTATCGGAGAAATAAAAGTCACGCCTTTTAGCCTGAGCGGTATACGTCTGATGCAATTCGAGGAAGGATAACTTCCAGCAGAGACTGAAATTATATAGAATTTAGATCCTATTTGTAGTTGATCCGCCAATTCTTCGAGAAAGTGAGTTTCATTTGTAGTTTTCATTCAAATTTGTACATTGTTCAACCCCAAAATCCCAAAACATTGATATAGATTCAGAATTCAACATATTGGGGGTTCTCAAACATGAACTTCAACTTGAAAAATTCCAATCAAATTACGCAATACACCTCAAAATTATTTTCAATTTCTGCAAAAATAAATAAAAAAATGAACCCCATGAAAGGAAAATGGAATTCTAAGCTAATACAACTTATGTTTCTTCCCCAAATGGAAACAAAGTTCTGGAATGTTTATGGAATCTTCTTCTTGTTAATTAAAATCAAAAAAACAAATTCAAATCTTCAACCACCCCACAATCACAAAGATTCGATTCAGATTCAAATTTCAACACATGTTCGAGATTTCTTCGTGGGGTTCTCGAACATGAACATCACATTCCAATGTGGGTAATGGTTGTATCAGGTGAGTTAAATGAGTAATGGAGCGGGTTAAACATGTATTTGAAATTTGGGTTAAATATTTGGTCAAACCGGGTTGAGGCATAGGATTGTGCCACGTTGATTAGTTTAACGTTTATCAAATACACTTCATTCAATTCTAAGTGCAAACGATCGTTAAGCAATCATAACCCAATAATTGAGTTGGGGTCGAATCCCACAAGGAGCGGTACATGTTCAAATTCAATCAAGAAGTATGAATGTGATCTAACTAGATATAGGAATAAAAATTATCGAAAAAAAAACATGAAACAAATAAAAAGAGGTGACACGAATGTCAGATGGGGGATTTTTGGTTTGCAATTATCAACTACACCACAGTCACAAACAATTGAAATAACAATAAGGAGAGAAATTCTCGGGATGTGATCGATTATAGGCAAATTTTGATATATGGGTAATTGAAACTACTAGTAAATAGCTAAAATCAGTGGGTAGGCTAGACTATAAGGGAGATAGCTTTCTCTCAAACAACTATCCCGAATCAGGTGATTTCTTACAAACATCAACAAGCATACCAATGAAGAACAACTCACACCTTAATTTATTCACTCTCTCGAGCTATATGAGTAGGATTGGGTTTAGGATTCACTCCCTCGAGTTGAACCCAGCTCAACCTAATACCTACAAATCATTAATCAATAATCTTAGTTCTAAAACCTCTCTCTTGAGCAAGCTAAGAACACAAGGTTAAAACTGCATTTGCAACTACAATTCATAAATTAAACCACAACTAATGATTAAACCCACTTCAATATAGCATTTAAACTAGTAATTAACAATACCCATAAACTAATTCAACACATAATCACATGATCACACCCCAAGAATTAGGGTTTTAGCCGAACATCATAAAAAAGTAAAACGGTTACCAAATCGATTAGCCATCAACTGGGTAGGAGTAATTAAGCCTTTACAATGCTTCAATTTGCAGAAAATTCAAAACCCACATGCAAAATCTCCAAATTGAGTCTAAAAAAGCCTTCAAGTCTACTAAGAAACTATCAAAAACTCAAGAGAAAACTGTTCTAGAATAATTCAGCATACCAAGTTAACTGTTCAAAATATAATTTATAGTTGCCAAAAATAAGCCACGAAGGGCCATTAGGCGAGGTAAGTCGGGATCGCCGAGTGGTTCGGCGAACCGCCTCCTGCTCTTTCTATCGTATTTTTGCATTGGCTCTCAGCATCCTCAAGTCCTATAACTTTGGGCGATCACTCTTGGCATCGCGGAACTGCTCTGCGATTCGCCGATTGCCCCTTTTCTGTCGCCAACTTGGTTTCTTCCCTCAAGGCTGGCACACTAGAACTTTAGCGGTCAAAATAGCCACTCGGCGATTCGCCAAGTGCTCTTAGCAATCATCAGGCTCGCCTTTCTTTACTTCTTCAGTTTGTTTTGTACCTTTTTGCCTGTTAGTGTCCTTGCTTTGCTTCTCAATTCATATACCTACAACTCAAGGCTTTAACATCAGTTTATGGCACAAATTAAGCATTTGAGGACACGAAATCTATATAAACAAAGCCCCAAATGAGTCCAAATCTCGGACTCCTCACACGTGTACAAAATGAGTCTTCCGTTAGTGGGACGGACAAATGTGCACTAGTAATTGGATGGCGAGGGCACTAATGGACGAAAAGTATGATGGAGGGTATTGACATACTATTTTCAAAAGTTTGGGGGGGTATATTTGTCCCTTTTCCCTATATTTTTTGTTAAATGATTCCTTGTAAAATAAATTCAAGAATCCAATGATTCATTGTAAAATTAATTCATTATACATAATATTCGTTGTTTCTTAATAATCAAATATTATTCATTGTATCTTTACTAAAAACATTCAATGTATGATGATAAGAGGATAACGTATAAAAAACATAGGACATTTCTTGAAATGCTATATCCAAAAATCGCTTCTTAGTTAACATGTGTCAAAAAAGTAACAATGATAGATCAAATACGTAAAATATTATGTGAGTGCAAAAATAGCATTCCATCTGCACTAAAAAAGATTTGCAGTTGTGAAAATACAAGAACTTTTGAATGCAAAAAGAAAAGTGAGAGATGAGTTTCAACTAGATTTAAAATGTTAGATATTTTTTTTTTGGTAATTAACTGTATATTCATTAATCAGCATCTGGTATTTACAAAGCATAACAAACTACATCACAGTTTGTTAATCAAAGAAACAAAACTCAAAGGAGATACAACTTCAACTAAAAGCTAAGTTGTTGCAGCCTAGAACTCATGGCCTTATGAGCCCTCATACAACACATATAAGCTATCTCTTTCGCAATGTAATCAAAATTTCTACTTTTGTCTTCAAAGATTCTGTGATTTCTTTCTCTCCACACTGCATGGCTCCAGTCTGCATACATTAGTCTAAACATCTGTGCAGTGAGAGTGTTACCTCTGGCTTTCTCTATAATCCTCTTCATGTGTGTGGCCCAAGCATCTGAAGTATAGATTGGCCATTTGATCCATGTCATCAGCTTCCTCCAGACATCTCTCGTAAACTCACAGTGTTTACGAGATCATGTTGACACATCTTGCATTGTTGATTTATAACCATCCCCCATGAAACCAACCTATCACTAGTTGGTAGCTTGTTTTGTAATTAGAGCCACATTGTAACAATGGCTTTTGGTCGTGCATAATTGACAAACATCAGACATTTCTAGGGCACTCTAAGTCTATTTCCAAGTAGACACAAGTAAAGGCTGCCAATAGTTACCTGATCATTTTACTTTCGTGTTTGCTCTAAAGTCAGCCTAGCATTAAGGATCTTCTTGACCATCCATGAGGCTTGCTTTGGAATCGATGCAGTGAAGAACTGTTGATTTTTTTTTATGTAAAATGAGTGGATCCATCTAATCCGTAACTTATTAGATTTGTGAGCAAGATCCTAATAGGTTTTTGCAATAGCAGCTTGGTTCCACATCCTGATGTTAATGAGGTTCATGCCTCCAACTGATTTAGGCAAACACACTTTGTCCCATGCTATCAATGCTCTCTTAGTAATAGTATTAGATCCTGACCAAGTGAAACTTATACAGTATGACTCAATAAGTTTGAGAACTTTTGCAGAAATGGTGAAGAGTTGAGACCAGTATGCTTGAATACCAAATAGCACAGATTGAACCAGTTGTATTCTTCCTGCATATGATAGCTTCTTAGCAGTCCAGGAAGAGATTCTAGCAATAATTTTATTCACAAGGGGCGACCACTGCATAATAGTCAGTTTCTTGGTGGAAAGAGGGACACAAAGATATTTGAAAGGAAAATCACCACATCCAAAACCACTTTGCTGGAGTATATTCAGTTTTTCTTGCACAACAGCCCCACCAAAATATATTGAGCTTTTATTCATGTTTGCCTGCAGTCCTGATGCTTGGGAAAACTTTTGAAACATTGATATATGTTTTTTACAGATTTTTGATCCCCTCTACTAAAGAGTAGGAGGTCATCTGCAAAACATAAATGAGTTATATTCAATCTGCCACATTTAGGATGAAACTTGAACCCTTCAAAATCTCTAACTTCAGCAAGGCATCTACTCAGATACTCCATAGATATATCAAATAAGTAAGGAGAGATATGATCTCCTTGTCTAAGCCCTCTTGCAGCATTAAAGGGTGGTGTGGTCTCACCATTTACCATGATTGTATAATTCACAGTATGAACACATTCCATGATCCATTGAATGAACTTCTGAGGAAAACACAAATTCTCTGGAACCTGTTCCAAGAAAATCCACTCCACAGAGTCATAAGCCTTTTGTAGATCAATTTTTAGCATACATCTTGGAGAAATGTGTTGTCTAGAGTATGTTTTAACCAGTTCAGTAGCAAGGACGATGTTATCATCAATCTTTCTTCCTGGGATGAATCCTGTGCTTCACTGATAATATGTGCCATAATCTTCTGCATCCTTGTAGCTAAGACTTTAGCAATGACTTTGTATATGATGGTGCAGCAAGCTATGGGCCTATATTATTTTATATTCACATGACTGGAATTTTTTGGGACCAATGTGATTACAGTGCAATTAACTGGTCTATACAATTTTCCAGTCTGAAAAAACTCTATGATAGCCATCAACATGTCATCTTTGGTGATACTCCAAGTCTTCTTGTAAAAATACGTATTATAACCATCCACTCCAGGTGCTTTATCATCTCCAATAGAGGTTAGTGCCTTCCAGATTTCCTCATCCATAACATCTTCACATAATGCAACTCCTTGCTCATAAGTAATTGTGGATCCTTTCTTCATAGTGTTCCTATCTACAACAGGTAGAGATGTAGTGCTGGATCCCATTAGTGCCTTATAAAACTCTACCACTTCCTCCTTAATAGCTTCTGGTGTGTTCAGTTTGGTGCCTCTAAGTGAAGTCAGCTCACGCATGATCTTCTTGTTAGTTCTCTCCTTGATCACTGCTGTGAAATATTTATTATTACCATCTCCTAGTTGTATCCATTTTGCTCTGGACTTTTGTCTTAGTGCACTTTCTTCAACAAGGCTCCATTTCTCAATATCCAATAAAGTTTGCTTCTCATTACATAGTAGCTCATCAGTGCACTGTTGATTGATTTGTTCCTGTATTTGCAACAATTCTTGTCTAACTACATTTATCTTAGTGGTTGTGCTTTTGAACTCCTCAATATTCAGATCTTTCAATACTTGCCTCAATGCTCTCAACTTTCCCCAGATATTTGCCATTGTTCCTGGAGCCATATGTTTTTGCCATATTTCTGCAACTTTGTCCATGAAAGTACTATGTTCTGCCCATATATTAAAAAATCTGAAAGATACCTTGCATGTCCACCGGTTGTTTGCAATTGTGAGTATCACAGGAGAGTGATCATAAAAATATGGGAGATCATACTTAGTAATCACATGACCCCAAGTCATCAGCCAATCAAGATTGCCAAAGACTCTATCAATTCTACTACAAATTCTATCAGTTCCTAACTGCTTGTTTGACCAGGTATAATAATCACCCTTCCATGGTACTTCATTCAGCTGCAGCTTATGAATACAATTTGAAAAATCTTGAGTTTCTGCTAGAGAGATTGGTGCACCATATACCCTATCATTTGGATATAACACAGCATTAAAATCACCAGCAATTAACCAAGGTTTATCCACCATTTGTTCAATGCTTGATAGTTCTGCCCATAAGACCTTTCTCTGTTCAATAGAGTTATATGCATATATAACAGTAATAAAACATACCAGTGTCCCATTGTTACCATTTATCAGACAATGAATTGATTGAGAAGTAGATCTAATATGAGTAATCTGGTAATAATTTGGATTCCACACTATCCAAACTCTACCATTTACAGCCCATGAATAATTATTCAGTGAATGCCAACCTGGGAATACATTTACAAGTACCTTATGAGCCTTATGAGCTTTGACTTTGATTTCTAACAGTGCTGCCATTTTGATGCATTTATTCCTCAGGTAGAGTTTTAATTCTTTTTGTTTATGCCACTTATTTAGTCCTCTCACATTCCATATAAGCCAACTCATTAGATAGTGCTTCTTATGTCTCCTTTATCAGGAGGAAGTTGCACCTGTCCACTCAATCTTCTCCCATCCCATTCTTTCTTCTTTGGCCAGGACCCCAATAAAGGAAAGTTTGTCAAGTTAAAATCTGGACTTTCATTTGCTGCTTCTTGATTCCTTATATTGAGGCATGTATATGTGACACTTTTTTGGCTAATCTCCTGCTGATCTACATTCTCCTTTGCATCCTGAGTAAGAATATTTCTTACTTGATTCTTCTTTGAAATTTCAAGTATGTCTAGTGCAGGTTCCCTGATCACACCAGTAGGCTTCCATTCTTTACCTACTCTACTAGGTTCTTGTCTCCTCCTAGGTTGTGGAGCCTGAGGTTGTGGCATTTTCTTTGTGCATGTATGACCTACCATTGAGCATTTATGACAGAACTTAGGCTTCCAATCATAGAAAACCTCTTGCTCAAACTTATTACCATTAGGATCCATCACCACAATCTTATCGGGCAATGTTTGTGTGATATTCACTTCAATCAACATTCGAGCATAGGATATCCTTGTTTGTTTAGCAGCACATTCATCAGCATAAATAGTGACTCCAATGACACTTGCTATTCGACTCAAAGATCATTTACCCCAACATGACATAGGCAGCTCGGGAAACTTCACCCAGAGAGGAATTTTTGTGGGGAATTCCTTGTTGAAATCAAAATTTGTTGTCCATGGCTTGAGTATTATAGGTCTATTGTTGATGGTATATGGACCTGAGTAAAGTATTTGGTTCATATCATCAATCGAAGCAAATCGAATCACATAATATCCTTCATCATGATAAAACACCTCAGGTTTAGCTGCACTAGACCAAAATTGATTAATATACCTTATGAGAGCATTATTAAATGTTAGATATATTTGTACTTTTAGAGAATTATTAAAACTTGATTAAAGATTAGATATGATACTAAATGTTCAAAAACGTATTTATAGTCGCCAAAAATATGCTGCGAAGGACCATTCGGCGCAGTAAGTCGGGCTCACCGATCAACTCGGCGATCCCCCCTTTGGTCAATTCCATCGCCCTTTTGCTTTGGCCTTTAACATCCTCCAGGTCTGTAACTTTGGGCGATCTAATACTGCATCGCGGAACCACTCGGCGATCCGCCGACTGCTCCTTTCTCTCGCCAACTTGATTTTCTCCTTCAGGGCTTGGCACACTGGAACTTTAGGTGGTCAAATGGTCACTCGTCGACTCGCCAAATGGACTTGGCGATCACTAGGCTCTTTTTTCTTCCTTCTTTCAGCTCGCTTTGTTCCTTTTT